CAGAAATGAGGAGGTGCAGCATCAATTAATTGTTGCACAATCTATTCGTCACACATGCTGGGAAAGCCAGAGACAGAGGTGTGTGTGATGAAATCAGCTACACTTCAGCTCTCTTGTTCTCTTCCTTGTTCTGTCTCCTCAGACAGACAAAAAACATGTCAGTGATGTGGGTGTAAATACAGAACAGTGCTTTATGATGTACAGCATCTACAGATGACAGTACACAGACACAGTCTATATCTCTGCTTAAACACATCTAAATACTTAGATAAAAAAAATACCTATACTTTTGTCACAGTATGGTATCAGATGTAGAGGAATAGTCCGAATAAGTAGCAGACAGTGTGATCTTCTGCCAAATATTCATCTTTTAATTTTAACAGCAATTTTGAGAAAGTATACACAGCAAGAATAAAATAATTCTTTTTCTATAATCTACACAATTGCCACTGACTCTGCTTGTGCACAGTAATGGCAGCTCAAGTTTCTGCTTGAGTAATGCACAGGAAAATACAGAATGTGATGCAATAACGGAAACATAGGTGATCATAGGAATCATAACAAATTGCTTTGTTTTGTTTTTTTTACCAGAGGATATCTGTATCAGTTGTGATCACATCTCTTTCACAATTTGATGCACACACACAAGAAGCGTGCACAGCCCCAAACCCTTCTTCAACTTCTTCTTCAGGGCACAGTAGTCTCTTTCTAAACAATGCTTCAGAAGGTGCAGTAACAGTCTTTTCCAACACTTTTTTTGTACAGAAAGAATAAGTAATCAAATCAAGTTGGGAGACATTTACCCCCACTGCTGTAAAAAGATTTAACCTATTACTCGACCCGTGAAAAAGACCTGTTTTATATGAAATTTAGCATTTTTATAATTTATCAAATTTTATTAGTTTATTTAGTTTTACCACTGGCAGTTTATTTTAGAGTTTTGCACCATGTAAGCTTATTGACTAGACTTGAACTGCTTAAATGTGTAATGACAGATGGAAAAAAGGAGTTAACCCCAATCTTATGACAGGTAGTGCATTTCCATACATACTTTTATTATATTGTATTTACAGTAACAAAAACATCAGCAAACATGCTGATGATTACACTCCAACTGAACAAGTTTTGTTTTCGGTGAGAAAAATAAAATACAATAAAACAACAAAATAATTATCTGTGCTGTCAAATGAGTATTTGGTTTCGAGGATATCACTCAGGCTTTGTGTGTATCAAATTTCCCCATTAAACATAAAAACGTAATTGCGTTATTTAGGTTTTTACTAAAATGAGTTTGTAGAAACATATACCAATTAGCTTATTATAAGAAGTGAAAGGTAAAACATATCTCAGCACAGAAAGATTTGGAAAAGGGACATTCAAAAAATAAATGAGTTAAAGACTCGTTTTCAAGTTCACTCACTGAGCACCGAGGAGAAACGTCTTTTATAAAATTACTTACGAGGCTAAAATTTGTGAGGTTTTGATGTGACCTTCTTTAACTTAATGTACCTGAAAGTTGGTTTGCTATCCGCCATTAAAATCAATCAATCCATTAATCAATTCTAAATTTCAGTGACTTTCCTAAGGACATTCACAATATTAATTTAAAATGACAGCAGAAGGCCTACAGTATAGTGCTGAGGCTTTAGTATCTATTAGCTTAATAGCATTTACATCTTCAGTGATCTATGGCAGGGGTGTCCAAACCTTTTTCAGAGGGTCAGATTTGATAATGTGAGAATGCCCAAGGGCCAACCATCCTGCCTGACATTCTTTGAATCATTAAAGTTAAACGCAAGTGCACTGTTTTATTAAAATTTTATTTCAAATGCCTGCAAATTTCAAATAGTTTTAATTTCTTTACATGAAAATGCAAATAAGTGTAAGCTACCCAGGAATTAATTGGTCTTAACAAAATCATTCTGCCTTTCATATCTGGGGGGCCATATAACATAAGAAAAAGCTGTCTGGGAAGAAAAAAACTTCCAGGAAGTTGATAATTATCTTAACCTCAGGTTCATTTTAATCATCACTTATTATGGGCATAAGGTTGTCTGTCAACTTTTAAGTTCTAAACATATGAACATTTCATATATGTGAAAAGTACATAACACCAACAGTGCAAAACATAAAGTGCCATTAGTTGAAGTGCATATAAATGTGGTTTTGACCAACACAAAACAAATTTAAAAGGCAACATGTAAATTCTGAGTCTCAACCCTGATGCTTTGGGTTGGCAACTCAGACCTAATGACATGGCGCACTAATGTGATGGATGATACTGAGATCTGGATTGCAGTACACAAGCCAGGTCTGGTTTAAAGACAGTGGTTAAGATGCGCAAAATGTCATGCAGGTGAGAATCACTCAGTCTTGTCCTCAAGCAATCCTTGTTTAGGTTCATAACAAAGAATGTTTGCTCACACAAATAGGTGGAGCCAAACAAGCTCAGAATTTTCTTTGCACATGTTTGAATCTCTGGAAACCTGCCTTTATCCAGCTGCCAGCAAAAGTTCACAAGAGAAAGCTGTTGATGTTGGCTGTGCCACTCGCTGTCACACTGCAGCTCAATGAGCTCTATTTGCACTTGAAGTGGAGCATCATCTGGGTCCATGGAGAAGGCTGAAGAGAAAAGCAACATCTTTTCATAGCTGCAAAATCCTGAAAGCATTGTTTAAGAGATGCGATGTCTGTTCCATACCTCCTCGTTTCTGCACTGATATTGTCCAGTGGAAAACACGGTATTGGGTTCCATTTGTGAGGAGTGTTTTTGGAAAAGTTGCAGCTTGGTTACAAATGCTTTGACATGTGCATACAACTGGCTCACCACTGCATCTTGCCCTTGAAGGCTCGTGTTCAGCACATTCAGAAGCTTTGTTATGTCAACTAAAAACATCAAATCTGCAAGCCATACAAGATCTGATAGTTCTGGCATTTGTTGTCCCTTTTTGGCCAAGAATTGTCCGAATTGTCCGATTTCCCCCTACAGCATGATACTGTGTTTTAGTGTAAGGTATAATTACAGTAATACTGTAGAAAAAAACAATAATGTGGACAGTAATGGATTATGATACAACATCCTTTATGAGTTACTGAATGTGGGATTCAGTCTGGTATTGTAAATAACACACCATAATAAAGATGGTTGTGATTATTATTGTGGGAACCAGTTTTTTTTATACATCTCGTAAATCAGCAGTGTTGTATAATTAATAAGTATACTTTTTATTTGTTTTTAACAGGAATAAATAAATAAAGTGCTTGTAAGTGTTGGCCTTCTTACTTAGTGCAAGCCTAATGTATGTAGTATTTGACCCTTGATTGAGCCTATTGTCAGGTTTGCCCAGCTGCACCTGCCTCTCTTACCGCACTTTTTTTGTTTTTTCGGCTCCTGATTACACCACCTTGCACACCTGCTTCACATCCCTTGATTAACACCAGCTGCACTTCATTGGTCTTTCCTCTTACTTATACCCGGCTCACTTACTTCTCCATTGCCAGTTTGTTGATGCTCTCAGGCCAACAGCCAGTACTATTTATTTTCCAGTGTTTACTGTGTGTGTTTATCCAGTTTTTGTTGCCTCTCGTCCTCCCGCTCTGTTCCTCCTCCATTCTTTTATTTTTTTGCTCACTCACACTCCCATGTGTGAGCGATACTAACACCTATTGAGTTCTTAGAAAATAGCTATCATATGTTATAGTTTAGATGAAGAATCATTAAAATATGTTTATCAGAATAAATAGGTGACATGGTGGAAAGTCACACATAACGTATAAGTCATTTGTCATCATCCTCATACACACTCTTTGTGTCAATTTAATAAAAATTTCCTTTAGATCAAAAAACAAAAAATCAACTTGGAGTTGGATTTTTTTTGCAGATCCTCAACTCTCCAATATATAGGCCTAGGAATACCACCAGTCATCCAAGGCACATAATCAATCAAGTGAGCTGATCTGGCTTTAACTGGGGCAATTTTATCCAAAACAGAAAGACATTAAGAAATTGAAACAACGCTTCATACATTCATTTGAGAACCCTCATCTCAGAAGCCTGGAAATGTCAGGAGAAATATGGGATAACTCAAGAAGGAAAGTGGTTTGGGGATTTTAATGCAAATAACACTTTATGGGGTTTTAAGAATGATTTTAATGGAGGAGTGACTGAAGAGTTTGGGGAAAGTGGGGATTTTAATGCAAATAACACTTTATGGGGTTTTAAGAATGATTTTAATGGAGGAGTGACTGAAGAGTTTATAGATGAGAATGGGTTAGTGTGTTTAAATGGTGGTACTGGTACATTTACCAATGGATACATGATCAGTGGTGATTTAACATTGGTCTCAGGTTTTGTTAATCAGCAATCAAAGTTCATTTTCTGTGGGTACCTGCTCATATACGTACAGTAATGAACAAGGAGATGTGAGTACTAAAGAAGGAGCAGGCAGTTCTACTATTTGTTTGGAGATCAAGTATAGAAAGGCAGAATTGAAAAGTACAAGGGTAAAATGTTCCAGAAGTGACTGTTTTTATGGGATAATGTTCAGTTATATGGCATTCAGAAGAAAGTGGGTAGGGGTAGAACTAGGGGTAGAAACGCTAGCACGTCAACTTTAGGGAAACATATAATTTCAGGGATGAGATCTGGACATACAAGATTGAATAGTACATTATTTTAATGAATAAGCATAATACTAGACTGTGATTATTATAATAGGTCTGAAACAATAGAACATGCATTCAAGGAATGCCCAAGGATGCACAAAGGTTAATAATACAACTTGAAGAAAATAAAGTAAGCTTTTACATGTAGGATATGCTGCAAAGGAATTCAGGAGAACAGTGTTTTAGTTGTTGTTTTTTTTTATTAATTCCTTGGGGGATATCGGGTAGTTAGATTTTCTTGTCCCACACTCCTACTCAGAAGTAATACACTTAACGTTGCTTGTAAACATCCAAGAAGAAGAAGAAGAAGAAGAAGAGTACGAAGACGACTACTCGCCATGATTGACGTCACACGCGGACCGGAAGCCGTCGGGAAATCTGCAGGAAGTTCTCTTTGTTGATCATTCGGTGTTTTTCCGGCCTCTTATGTACAACTAAGAATTAAGAGTTGTGTCTGTTATCTGTTTTGATCATTTTGTTTAATTCTGTCACGTTAATAACAGAGACGTCACTTGTGGTGTACTAGAGAGTTTAATATAGAAATCACTGTCGTAGCTGTAGTTGGGCCCGACGTTGGGCTAACGTTAGCCTAGCATTCACTGGAGTCCTGCTAGCTAACGTTAGCTTGGGTTAGTTGTCACTCCATTTAGGTTAAAAAAGAAGCTGTTCACTCACTTAACTCCATAAAAATAACATTTAAAACTAACAAATTAAACCATGGCAGTTGTCAACGAAGCTGCGCTGAAGAAAATGCTGAAGGTAAGCCCGCTGCTTAACCGTTGCGGCACTTGCTGGCAAAGAAGTAGCAATTTGTTAGCTAACATCAGTGCTACCGATACCAAACATGACACTATTTAGCACGGTAGTATTTCCTGGAATGGTTTATACTAAATGAGTGGGGCATTTAAGTTTAGAACGGCGAACACCTGCAATGCATTTTGCTAAGATTTCTCGCACAAATCTTTAGAATAAAACCAGTTTTATACAGTGCTCTTCTTTGATTTTCGTTTTTACAACAACGATCTCACATTCTTGTACAGCCTGTAGAACAAATTTTCTACGAATAGTATCTAGCGTCGACTCTTTCTAAACTTGTGTCAGCAGTTGTGTCTAAACTTTCAATAACATACATGGCCTATCTTCTTTTTCTGTCATTGTCTAGCAATACAAATACAGAGATCTGACAGTTCGTGAGATAACCAATGTCATCTCCCAGTACAAAGACTTGAAGCCGGTTATGGATGCTTATGGTAAATAGAATAATCTTGGTCTCCTGCTTTTGACACTGTGGTCGCAATTATATATCATATGCTTACATGATGACATTATCTAACTTGTTTTGCTAGTTGACACGGGATCCTCTTGTATTTCAGTTTTTAATGATGGCTCCACAAGAGACCTGATGAGCTTGACGGGAACCGTCCCAGTGAGCTACAGAGGTAAAGAATGGTTCTCGTTTTCTAAAACTTCCTTTCTATTTGACAGTTGTTCTTTATAGAATTATAAAATTCTTTGTGTGTTTTGTTTGTCTTGTCCTTTTTTGTGCAAACTTCATTTATAGGCCCAAATACTGTAATAAATGGGAACTCCTTGGGGCAGAAGGAAAGAGAAGCATCCTAAACTATACCTGTGGATACATTTTATCTTTTATTGTGCTACTCCATGTCTTTGACAGGATTCCCACTTGTCCTGGAAAACCTGGAAATTAGACCAGTTTTCCAGTCATTGAAAAATAATCAAAAATGATAGAATTAGTAAAACATCATGAGAAACTATTTGTCATCCTGGAAAAGAATTTTGTCATTTCTGTCTTTTCATTTTGTCTGTTTGGTCTCAACAGCTGGTAGCTGAAATGAGAGCTACTGTTTGTTCAGTGGTTAGATGAGGTTAGAATGGTAGTATGATAGGGTTGAACAGCTTTGAACACCATATGAAGTTGTAGGCTTTTGATTGCATCCCTGCTGAGATTGGTGAAGACACTGTGTACTTGCTGCAGAAGATAAAGACCTCAGATAACATCGGTGTTGCTGATCTAAATTAACTGATCCTTCAAACATTAGTAACTGTTACAAGCCTTACTTTCAAATAGATTTATAATTAAATACTCCTTTAGGTCTCTAAGCAACAGCACAATGATAATGTTAAGTTCGCTAGCTATCTAACATTGAGTGTTTGGTTAGGATGATAAGTTTACCAACTTGTTTTGCTGGCAAATGTTTCATATTCAAAGTGTGTGTGTTTATAAGTCAAGATTTTTTTTTTTGCCGTTTATGCATTAACAGTCTAGGCATATAGGAATTCTTGTGTAGCTCTCCTTTAGAGTCAGGTAAGGAGTCAAAAGTCAGAAAACACTTAGTCTTAAAATAAAAAAGTTACATAAAGGTAAGAAAGTATTAAAACCACAATACACAAAAATAGGGTAATAGTATTTTCCCCAGTGAAGTTCAAACATCGCACTTAGTAATTCACATGGTGGAGTTGGATATGTCATTACACTTGGTGAGGTAGTGAGGAGTTATAACATTCTAAAACACAGTTTATATTCAAGTTTGTTTCCATTGCTTGGTAGAGAATGTCCTGCTGTTATTCAGGTCCCACAAGAGAACACTGTTGATGAGATGCTCTTACAAAAATACCTTGTGGAGCATTTCTGTATTATTATTGTGCATGTCTAAAAAGGGGTTATTGTTATTGAAACCATTTTAAACTGGCTTTACACTCTCCTGGGTAATCTTCAGTAGTCCAGATTTGACAACTCTAAATATAGTGATTCTTGATCCAGATCTGATCCAATATGGCCTAGATGGGGAAAAAAGTGGTACCCTTTTTGTGTTTCAGTTAATCAGGTCTAGGTTTACTTGTAGATGTGCTGGCTTTTAACATAAATCTGGTCTCATTGTGTCTAGATGGAGAAAATGCTGAGATGTAGTTTTTAAAAGTTACCGTATGTGTTTATTTGTTTCATAGGTCAAATAAAGGTTTCGCAAATCTGAAAGTGGGTTTTACACAGAGTTAAAACTTTAGCTAAAATGTCTAGCACCCAGTTTACACCAATTAATGGATAAAAAATGGAGAACCCATAACGATATTATATAAGTCCTTACTGTTGTCATTTAAGATTAATTCATACAGTACTATGCAAACATTTTAGGCACTAAAAGTAAACTATCTGCAAAATAATTCCATGAATATCCTTATTTCTCGTTTGGAGCACTGGGTGGGTATCCGGGGGATAGCTTTGGAATGGTTTCGATCTTATCTTAAGGATAGATCCTTCTGTGTGAAACTAGGAGATGCTGTATCTTCCTCTGAGCCCCTTGTGTATGGGGTACCACAAGGCTCGGTCCTTGGACCCCTTCTTTTTTCCCTTTACCTTCTCCCACTTGGTACTATACTCAGGAATCACAGTGTTTCCTTTCATTTTTATGCGGATGATTGCCAGCTTTACCTACCGGTTAATAAGATGAGCTCTTCCGTTAGCACACTTCTTGAATGTCTGGATGACATTAAATCTTGGCTTGCTTTTAACTTTTTAAAGCTGAATGAGGATAAGACTGAGGTGATAGTATTTGGTGATTCTGTTGGTTCACCATCTGTTGACTTGGGCTCATTGGCTCATTATAATCAAAAGAATATTTTAAATTTAGGTATTAAGATGGATCCAGATTTAAGATTCGACAGCCAAATTGCAGCTGTCATTAAATCTAGTTTCTTTCACCTCAGACAGTTGGCTAAAGTAAAAGCATTTGTCTCTAGACAGCATTTTGAGACGCTTATTCATGCTTTCATTACTTCCCGTTTGGACTATTGTAACTCATTGTATCTTGGGGTCGGTGAGTCTTCTATCAATCGCCTCCAGATGGTCCAAAATGCAGCAGCGCGTCTTTTAACAGGTACAAGGAAATATGAACATATCTCTCCAGTTTTGGCCTCCCTACACTGGTTACCTGTCCATTTTCGGGTCCATTACAAAATTTTACTCTTTGTTTTTAAATCCCTTCATGGCTCTGCACCATCCTACTTAACTGATTTGCTTCATTGGCATACACCCACACGCTCTCTGAGGTCAGCAAATCAGTTTCTCTTGAGTGTCCCAAGAACGAAGCGTAAGCTTAGAGGCGATCGAGCCTTCGCAGTTGCTGGTCCTAAACTCTGGAATGATTTACCACTGTCCATTAGACAAGCCTCTACCCTGTCTGTTTTTAAGTCTCTTTTAAAAACTCATTTATTTTCCCTGGCATTTTGATATTTTTGTGTTGATTTTAGTCATTTGATTGATTATATTTTATATTGTTGTTTGTGGTTTATAATTTATATTGTTTTATTGCAATGTACAGCACTTTGGTCCACTCTGGTTGTTTTTAGTGCTTTATAAATAAAGTTGGTATGGTATGGTATGGTATAGATTTTGTCAGTTAATTTTGTACAAAGTGCAGAAAAGAGAAAAACAATATTTAGTGTGACTGCCTCTTTTTGTGTAAATATATGTACTGGACAGTATCTTGCAATGGAGACTTCCCTTAGAAGAACTTGTTAGTCTAGGGTGTGATCCCCATCTGACATAATAGACTTATGATGCTGAAAATGTCCTGCAAAATAATTTCTTGAAAAGAGTGGGAGCCCTACTTTGTCTGTTACTTTGTCTACTGTTTTGGCAGCATGGTTTTAATTACATCTAGGAAGCAGAGCTTGTCTTCTTACAAAACATCAAAGTTGCAGGAGTTTGTTTTTAGATTGTTAAATGTATTTTTTTATATATATATACAAGGTATAGTTTCTGTTAATTGTATGTACAGATCCTCTGTGCTTGTGAAAACAATACTAAACACAGTTTTTAAGTGGGAAGAATTTAATGATGAGAATATTGAGACTTATAAACAGTTTGGACATGGGGGTCTGACATTACTAACATTGTGTGGACTACTGAAACCTTTTTATGCACTCACACTGTGGGGATTCTGCCCTTTTTGTGGGGACCAAATGCTTGACAGCTTGCTTTAAGGTTGAATGAGGTTAGATTAAACTTAGGTTAGGTGTTAGACAAGTAGTGGCTATAGTTAAGTTTAGGGTAGGTCTCCAGATAATGAATGTGTTAGAGACTGGTAATGTGAAATCCCCCTATAGAATGAAAACAAACATCTGTGTGTGTGTGTTTCTTGTAGGTAATATCTACAACATCCCAGTGTGTTTGTGGTTGCTGGACACATATCCCTACAACCCCCCCATATGTTTTGTCAAACCTACCAGTGCCATGATGATCAAAACTGGCAAGCACATTGATGCCAACGGCAAGATCTACCTGCCTTACCTACATGAGTGGAAGCATGTATGTGTGATGTCTTCAGTCATTTTGATTATCACTAATTTATCAGTATTAAGTCATAGCTTGCAGGAATATTTTGGGTGTGTGTATGATTATGAGTTAGCACAAAATGGGGCAGTCCTTAGAACTATAAATGTAACTGCGCTTCTAGATACTGTAGTATTTGATCTGCCACTTGCCTGTTGATCATTTGACATAATATTCTGCATTTGTTGTATTGTTTAATTAAACCTGTCTTTCACTGTATGTCTTACAGCCTCAGTCAGACTTGTATGGTCTGATTCAGGTGATGATTGTGGTCTTTGGAGAAGAGCCTCCTGTGTTTTCTCGCCCCACCACACAAGCCCCCTACCAAGCCTTCCAAGCAGCTGGACCCCCTAACCGTGGGTGACATGAATCTTTGTTGTAGACTGACTAATCCTAAGGTGTCTAAAGTTTCTTGAGCACAGTGTGATTTGGATTACCACAGCCGGGCCAGTGCCCTGGGAAGATTAAACAAAGTAGCTCTCTGACATTTCACAAGTGCATTGATCAGCACTGGTATTTTAAGAACTCCGCATTTAATATGCTTCATGATATTTGACCAGTCAACAATTCTCAGCACTGCAGGTCTCACCCCAATAGTTCTTGGACCTTTGCAAAGTATTACCCCCTAACTAGGGCCTTTTTTGTGGGGTGGAGCTTCACCCCAGAACTAACTTTAGACCTTGGTGATGCATTTATTTTCTTCAGCAGCAGATGGAGCTCAGAGACCACTTCAGCACACCAAAGAAACTGATAAAGTGATAAGTAAATGTGTCTTTGTGAGAACGACAGATGCACAAAGTATTTTAACCTGTGTGTACTCAGACCTGATTGTTTCACTGTTTCTCTCCCTCAGCTTCTTACATGCCTGGTATGCCTTGTTTATCTCTGCCTCAGCTTCTTACATGCCTGGTATGCCTGCGGTGTCTCCATATGGCCCAAATCCTAGCGCAGGGTAAGATGTTTGCAAAGCAGTTCTCAGTCCCCTTCTCCAGCTCACACATTGTGTCTATTTCCCAAGCAGCGGTCCTGTTCTGGCTGTCTTGTGGTTTCTTCTGCAACATATTGCACACAGGCATATTTATTTCTGAATCAGTTTACAGCTAGGTCAGTTTAATTTATACATTAAAGTTAAATACAGGTTTTTGAATTTTTTTGAAAGTAGTAAACATACAGTGGGTACGGAAAGTATTCAGACCCCCTTAAATTTTTCAGTCTTTGTTATATTGCAGCCATATGCTAAAATCATTAAAGTTCATTTTTTTCCTCATTAATGTACACACAGCACCCCATATTGACAGAAAAACACAGAATTTTTGACATTTTTGCAGATTTATTCAAAAAGAAAAACTGAAATATCACATGGTCATAAGCATTCAGACCCTTTGCTCAGTGTTTAGTAGAAGCACCCTTTTGAGCTAATACAGCAATGAGTCTTTTTTGGAATGATGCAACAAGTTTTTCACACCTGCATTTGGGGATCCTCTGCCATTCCTCCTTGCAGATCCTCTCCAGTTCTGTCAGGTTGGATGGTAAACGTTGGTGGACAGCCATTTTCAGGTCTCTCCAGAGATGCTCAATTGGGTTTAAGTCAG